GGGGGGCCTCACTTGTTGCAATCATCAAACGGAACAGTCATCGAACAGGTTGTTGTTTCAATAGTTAACTCGGGCGGCGTTGTTGGCGCTTCAGTCATTCTCATGAAAACCTCATTTCGCACGTTGACGCGGGGAATCACTGTGTACGCGAGGGATCGCTGCAGTGAGAGCTGCCGCTTTAACCCCCCTTTGACGCCTGTTGACGAAACAAAACGCCCGCCCGCAGCCACCGTACCGCAAATCGAGAGCATCGAGAAGGCAGTGATCGATAAAAATTAACGTGGCGTTGGTTTCATTGATTTTCAATGCGATGACGTAAGGTCACGTATAAACACTGGCTCGGGACGGAAGTTTAAATCGGCCGGGTCAAATTTAGACCGCACGGGAGGGGGCGGGGTACGGATACAATCGAAAAGCCTATAGGCAAGAAAGTCGTTCTCGACTTCCATTCGTTTATCGAGAACGCATTATAATTTCTCATCGACTAAGTCGCGTCCACGAGACGATGGAAACCATAGGTGGATTTTTCGATCGAATGACGCTGTACCATACTTCATTTTCTTTCATCTTCCTCAGGAAATCCACACTAATTTTCATTGCCTTCGTTATGCCTTTCGCGCTATAGCCGCGCACTGCACGTGCCATTGAAAGTCCTTGCGTGTACGAAAAAAAAAAAGATTCTTTCGCACTCGACTCGATGTTTTTAACAACGAGCCTTGCGCCCTCCCCCTTACTCACCACCCCGCCACCCACGGAACGAGAAACGCCATTCCGGCACGTCTACTTATATCAAATTGCCGATCCACTTGTATATCCCTCCGTATCTTTCAGTCTGCCCGTTCATTGATTTTATTCGAACGTAAGTCAGCCAGCACAAAGGACACGCCAGACAATGGTAATACGTGATGCACGACGATGACTCGCTGACGTGGCAACATCAACAAACTGTGTAAAGAAAAGGAAAAAGAATTATATCGACAGCCAAGGTATATAATTTTACGTGAGTGCTGTCTGTTTGTCGTTTACGAACGGAAAGGTGTCATTAGGCAACTGACTTTTGAGTCGCAACAATGCACAATTAACCGACGCGAATATACGAGGCACAGGAAAAAGCCAAAGATACGTCAAACTGCACGAGCAGCGGGGTACAGGGTTTACGTAGTATCCGAGAGTGTCTCCATCTGGCGGCGGCAAGCTTCGACATTGTCAACGCTGTCCGACGAAGCAACGAAGAGACTAGGCAAGATCAATTAGATCGAATTACGACAATAGTTAAGAAGCCCCCGTATACTCTCGATACAATAATTACACGATTGGGTAATTATCGAAGCTGCCATTAGGGTTCACTGTCCTCGAAAAACGCGCAGTACTAAAGTTTACGGCAAAGAAGGATCGCAGCGCCCGTATACCCGTAGTCGTCTAGTTGCCGAGACCGACCGTCGATGTCGCCACCGTCGCCTCGACAGCGCCGTGTCTCACGGTTCGTATTAATTGACAGTTGTCGCGCGTGTCAACGATTGCTAAAGAAGTGGGTGACCCCACGAGGACGATTTCCTCGGCCCACGCGAGCATGACAAAATGGTCGCGAGACTGAATAGAATTAAAATCGAATATCAATCGGCGCAGTAGCGAAGCCACGAGGGTTTCCTTTTTCTCTCGCGAAACATCGAAGCGTCCATTGACTGGAGTTTTCTCCTTCGCGCAAACGACGCAGCTGCACTTGTATAAACAATGCTCGGCGTTGAGCGTACGACGTGTGTGTCTGTCAGACGCACGTGGGTGGATACGTAAGCTTCTATATGCCTAACCGTGTACGTGGCATGCATGGCGTGACGTGAGCGATACTTCGTAGCGACTGCGTACAAATAATTGGGTGCACTAGGAGGCGTAGGAACGCGAGTGACTGTACAAGGCGGAGAAAGGGAGAGAATAAAGAGGACCTGTGGCCTCTGACACGAGACACGCAACGCGTGGAAATTCTTCTGTGCTCTTTTACGGCCAAGAGTGCCGCAGGCGCATGCGCACTCTAGGAACAAGACCGCGAAGTGAGCCTAATGACCAGCCGGTACAATTTTTCTAGGTTATACAACGAGACGCAGCGTCTACGAGACACGAAAAGGCGCTGGAACAGAATTTCGACGACCCGGCTATAGCGGAGTTCCAGAAACATCGATCAACTTCGATCGACCCGGTGGCCAGGGGACTCGGGCTGAATTGGCGGTAGCGACCAACGGAGTAGACAGGTTCGCGAGACGGGAAAGAGAACCGGTATACGAAATCCCTGAACTTCCTGATTGATCTCGTGGATGGGAGAGACGAGACGAGGGGAGCAACGCAAAAGGTGGTATCGTAAGGAGTGAAGAGGAGGGAAGCGTAAAGGACGACGAGAGTGACAGTGAAGAAAAAGGAAATACCAGGACGAGGTCATTCGATCTTAGGGGTGAAGGGTGCCAGCGGAGGTAACTCCGCCCCTGTTCGCATCCATTCGGTTGCCGATGGTCATTAATTGATAGCGACAACGCGGCCACTCTCGGTTATAGATAATAAGGATAATAAAACGTGAGAGAACGGGGGTAGGTAGGTATGAGGTTATTTGTTCGGTGAGCCTGTGTGTCTCACCGCTGCTGTGTATATATATGACGCAGGGTGGATGGCCAAAGGGGTTAAGAAAGGGAGGCGCGGGATTGTTGAGCTGACTGGGAAGACGAGGGGATGCGCGGAGAAGTGGGGAGGATTAGCGAGATGGGACGGTTGGATGAACTGGG